TCTATGATCTTTATATTTTTTAAGTGTGTTATAAATTTATTTATTTTATTTGTGAATTTAGAACAAGGGAATTCGTTCTCACAAATATGACAAGAACAACGTCACTGCGCTCACAAAACATGAAAGCATGAAGAAGCATAAATTTGATTTTGATAACATCAAAATTTTGAAAACCGAATAAAACAAAAAGAAGAGGGAGATATACGAATCAATAGAAATAAAAAGAAACTCAAACTCAATAAATGACAAAAAATATACACAAAACCTAAATAAAATATATTTCAATCTGATTTAAACAATAATAATATAACATCATAAAAAGCCCTTAAAGTCATAACATATTTCCACCTTACCTTTTTCGAAAACACCAATGATACGCCCATATAAAAATAATTATATACTAATGACAGTAAAAAATGAGATACCAGATATCAACTTTTATTTGTCAGTTCGTTAATGTCTGTGTCACGTTTTACGTTTTAGTAAGTCATATATTTATACATATTTTACAATATCTGTTTGTCCTTATACATATACATTTTAGAATCTTGACAAAGGCAAGGGTTTCCTGCCGAAACGTTGATTGATTGCTATGGAAAATAAAATCTAGTTCCACATATAATATATCCTAATTGAACCTACACCCAAGAAACATTAACTTTATATTAAATATAATACGGTTCAAGAAACTCAAAACTACTATATATATAAATAAGGATCACTCAGATGAGTGGTGGGTTCAATTATCGGTCAACTAGGTGGAGAAATAAAAGACAAAGTTGATACTACTTCATCTATTTTGAAGACGTTTCGCTATCGAATTCTGATAGCATCATCAGTTCATCTTAAAAAAGATATGTAGTTGTCAATGGTATTAAAAAGGTAGTACAAAAACTCAAATAAATGGACAATCATATGGTGATATTGTATAAACAATTAAATAACTAACAACATTTAGAGACTTGGTAAAAATTAGCAAAGCAACAGAACACGTGGTCTAATAAGCATATAATATTTAATATAATATTAACTAGTGAAAAAGAACTAAGAAAATCATTGATTCACTTCCAACTATGCAAAAAATTTTATTTTAACTTCATCTTAACTTTTGGTAGCATTATTTAAGTTAACTACATTAAGATATAAAAAATATGTATAAAAAAGATATAAAGAGAAGTTACCACTGTTTGCTTGGCACCTGTTGCAGTTGAAAATGCATAACATTTATAGGTGTATTTTTATACGCCGATTCATAAATGCCCATAAAAGACATTTACAAAAATGTTGGAGTTAGAGCTTTTTAGCGTATGAGGGCAGTACTAAAATCCTGATAGCTTTCTTTTGCATTCTAAAAATTTGAAGTTCATTTGTTAACTTGCTTCATATAATTAATCCATAGTTTAGGTAAGAGTGGAATATAGAAAAATATGTAATTTTTAATGTTTCAAAGTTGACAACCCCTGCCAGTTGACGAATAAAAAATATATTCTACGGCACTACAGCCCAAATTAAGCCTTAGCCTGCTATATTTTTTGCCTCCACCCTTGCTTGTCTATGGCCGATCTTTTCCATACATGGACTCCTAAAAGGGATTGTGCGTCGCCGTTTAGTGTGTCTTTCCAACGCTTTCTTGGCTTTCCAACCGGTCTCTTTCACTGCATTCTAGCATTCAGTGCTCTTTTTGGTAGCCTATCCTCTCTTATTCTTACCACATGTCCGGCCCATTGCAATCTTTGTATTCTAATGAAGTCTGACAGTGGTGCTTCCTTTTAGAGTTGATAAAGCTCGTTGTTGTATCGACTTCTGAAGATTCCGTTTTCCCTCACAGGTCCTAGTATTCGCCTCAGTACTTCTTTTAAATGTATCGGCAGTTTTTATGTAAATTACTTGCAGATATAACCAAATTTTGCGTTTTATCGGAGTTAAGTTTCAGTTTGTTTGGAGCAAACCATATGCTAGATTTAGTAGAAATATCCTTATAAGACCTTTTTAAATCATCATTATTTTTCCTGATATAACGTATTCCGTATAATCTGCGAATTGTAGGTATTTGTACGGAATTCAATATGTTGGAATATGAATGGAAATGATATGAATTTAGGCAAATAGTAAATACATACATAATAAACAAAAGAGGTCCTAAGACCGAACCTATCGGGACTTCATGTTTTACGTATAAAAAATCAGAGAGACGACCTTTAGACACTATCGCCTGTTGTCTGCGCATAGATAAGAAGTTATAAGAATAAGAGCAATACCTCTGATTCCATAGGTGTTTAATTTGTGGAGCAAAATATTGTGTGAACCGCAGTCAAAAGCCTTCGACAAGTCGCAAAGAGAAATTACTGCCACGATGCGATTGCCACGTTCAAGCCTCTTAATCACCTCGCTCACAACATTATATACCGCGTTCGTAGTAGAACTTTCCCAAAAGAAGAAAAAATGCTTATGGGTCCCTAATTGTCAGTTTTTGAGGAATTACCTTTTTTGTAGATAGGTAGTACTTTTGAGTATTTTAGTACTTCCGGAAATACGATAACACTCCAGTTGAAAAAATTAAATTAATAGGATGAGTGAAAGGTTTTAAAACTATTTGGTAAGTTTCTTTTAAAATGTTGCTATTAATTTCGTGAACGTCTCTTTAATCAGAATTACTAAGAGACTTTATTATTTGAGAGACCTCTTCTTTCACAACGGGACGAAAAAAAGGACTTGCTCTAAGAAGGATAATTTCTATAATTGAAGAGGACATCGATCTTAATGGTGGAAAGGGATGTAATTATATTCTCTGCAATTGTAGTAAAAATATTATTTATTTCGTCTGGATGTAGATCAGGTTGTACCGAATTGGATCTTATATTGTTTCTTTCGAAATTTACTATTTCCAGCAGTCTCCAGGTTTTTATTGAAATTAGTAATAAAAATCACAGTAAGCTGACTTTTTAGCATTCTGTAATTGCCGATTACATTCAATTTGTTGTTGTTTATATACTTTGAACAAATCGGGATCCTTAGTGGCATTGGCAATGTGTTTAATAAGAGAAAGATTAGATCTATTTAATTATTAGACCCTAATTAATTATTAAAGCATTGCACGGGAATTTTTTCAGTCGTTTGCCGTACTTTTTTTAGTGGAAAATGCTTTAATAATCAAGTCGTTATATGTTTCGGTAAGAAAAAGTCTCAAAAAATCAGGATCATTATGAATATTATTATGAAATGTTTGATTAGTGAAGAACTGTAAGCTTAGAGTCAATAAATCAAAATTGAGCTCGATGGTCAGAATAGCAAGGTTCAAATACGCCCATTCTGTAGATTTTTCAGAAAAAATTGTCATAATGTCGATGCAATTACTGGACTGGAATGTAATTCTAGTATAATCGTTTATAGTTTCTTTTAGTCGATAAGATGATAGATAAAATACGGTTTTTAAAGTATCACTTCCAAAAAACTGAATAATTCATGTTTCTGTTGTATAGAAATTTAGAATACAGACTGATTTTATTATGAGATCGAAAAAAAAGTCGTCCACCGTAAGCCTTGTAAGAAAAACATATTCCTTATTTTGTGTCAGCTCAAAATTCATTAAAAAATTTTGCTTCAAATGAACTACTCTTACAACAGATAAGTTCATTTGGATAAAATTTCTTTTATGATAATTCTCCGGATACATAAGCAAAGCCCTATGTTTCACCTCTCTGGTTTACTGAGGACGAGTTTTTTTTTGGAATCTCATGATAACTTGTCATTTGCTTTGGCCATTTTAAGTTAAAGAACGTTATGATTGATTCGTAATTGCGACTGATTATACGTCCTTTTTTTGATTATATATTATATACACTTAAAGATAATTTTTATTTTGAGTTTTTCTTTTATTAGTAAGTACTAAAACGATTAAATAATAAATGAATAAAAAAGCATTAAAATCGTGTTTTGATTTTGATTCCATATTTTGTTAGATCCGTGCTGGATCCAGCTGGATTCAAGCCAACCTTGCAAATATCTGGTTGGACTAAAAATGCTGCTGGATTGCAATCCTTAACTAGTATTTTATTGGTATGAGTTATCATGAGTCAGCAACTACGACTTATATCCATATTAGACAACCCTCCACAGCAAATTATGTACAAATACAAAGATTGCACTGGATAGGTCCCCTTGTAAGTACGGATAATAACAGGACACCTAGTAGAACACTCACTGGAACCATAGTAGGATGTCAGCCAGTAGAAAGACCAAGTAAGAGGTGGATACACGAATTGAGAACCGATCTAAAGAGACATTGAGGGAGGATAACTGGAGAAGGGCAGCCGAAGAAAGGGGTGTTTGGAGACGGATGCTAGGGAAGCTAGGGCCTAACTTAAACTGTAGCACCATAAGAGAGAGAGGAAAATTTCATTTTGAAGAAACAAAAATTACTTGTTTCTATTTTTCATCTTTGTTTTATTAACGGTTTACAAGCTGGAAGTCGAAACACCAAAATAAAATTTGTCTAATTTTATTTGTCACTAATTTCCAAATATGTAATAATTTAATAATTAAAGCTGAACAAATATTGCAGGTAGTTCAGTAAAAGCAATTTAAAAGTATAAGAATAAGTGAATTCAATAGCTGAATATTATAAAATAAATTTAAAAATTAAGGGATGATATTAGTGATGACAGAAATTTAGTGATGACATTTATGGTAAATAAGGAATAATATTAAATAATAGCACTCAGATTTCAAAAAATAGACAATTATTTTAATATGAATATTAAAATAAGATGAACATTACTTTGTATACATTTTTCTAGGTCTACGAAGTATTGCCAAGGTCTGTTATGCAAGAGATGTACCAAAAATATGTAACACCTTATAAACAATCAACATAAAACATTTATATTTATAAAACACTACTTCTATTAAATCAGCAAATTTTTGACCTAGTTAATTATGTAAAACATTCAGAAAATAATTTCAAGTTTCATTTAGTAATACACTTCTCTCGAACATCAGTCGAGTTGGATTTATTTGTTTGTAATGAGACAACGGCATTAACTGCTATTATGAAGATTCCAATCGTTTTATTCGTTTTATTCTCGGCGCTTCACATAGATTGTAAAGAAAATCAAAATAATGTTCGAGTAATGGCATTTGGCGAAACAGTTAATAGGTAAAGTATTTTAAAAATTTTATTTTATTTATGGGTACAATTATATTTGCATTTTCTTATAAATTCATCGATTCATTTCTATTTTTTTAAACTTTCATTAATTTTATTTATATTTGTAGTTTCGTCGGTTATGATTTAGAAAATTTTAATTTTTTTTGTTTATACTGACTCTACACAATGCGGTAATCACATGTTATGTTATAATTTATCTCTTTTTCACTATCACTATGCGATATGGGCTTTAGTTCTTCAGATAAAAACATATTAATCCATCTCACAGATATTCCTTTTAAACTCTTTAACATTGGGTAGTGTATGTCATAACTCATTATTCTGCTGCATCCTATTCTAACTTTACCGCATCCATCTCGATTAATTTTACTGTTATTTTTTCTTTATGTCTTTGTTATTTTAGTCTTTAATTTCTTTTCTGTATTTCCTACTAATACTACATCATCAGTATACAATTAACTCAATATTACCGAGAATAAATACGGAGACATTTGACATTTGATCTTTCCTGTATACATGAAACCTGATTTTGGAATATTTTTGCCTCTTGTTGTCTATTGATGTTTGTCTCCATCAATTATTTATTTTATACTGTAGTTTTTGTCCTATAATGTTTAAATTGTTGAATATTTTTTATATTCAGATAACAAGATGATGCTTCTCCATTTATCTGACATTTTTTTTTACTTAAACCATACCATAAGACATTACTAATTCTAATAAACTCAATAAATTTATAACTTTATTAAACTAATCTGTTATCAAACTTGTTGATGTTTTCCTAAACAAAAGGTACCATATGCATTAACTCTCTTTATGGTGTGATTAAAAAAATCGTTTGTTATTCTGTACACAACTGCAACAACCATCTTTGCTAGCTCTACTGGTCTATTTAATTTCTATCAAACGCTTAGTATAAACAATGTCTACTAATAAATTCCAACACCATTTTTAGTAATTTTTCGGTTCATGTGCATTCTAAGTTGGAGTTTTTGATTTCTTTGCTCTATGTTTGCTTACTTTTTTGTAATTTTATATAGTTTTGTTTCTTTAATTTTTCTCTAGTTTTTCGAAATATTTTAATTGCAGTCTCTTCAATAATACTTCTTCTTTTTTATGTATATAAGTACATTGGCGGCTTGTTGTCTTTATGGAAGATTGTTACTCCATCTCTGGCCCGGAAATCATTCTGGTAATTATAATTTTGTTGGTTACGCGCCTGAACAGTTCAATTAAACTGCATTCAAACCATTCACGGAGATTGCGTAGCCACGAGATTTTACGTCTTCCTACGCTTCTTCTGCCTTTAATTTTACCCTGCATTATATTCCTTAGTAGTTCGTATTTTTCAGCTCTCATGATGTGACGCAAGTATTCCAATTTCCTGATTTTTATGGAATTTAAAACTTCGCACTGTTTTGAACTTTTGTTTTGCGATCCATCCATGATATTTTCAAAATACGTCGGTAACACCACATTTCGAATGCTTCTAGGTTTTTAATGTTGGATTTTTTAAGTGTCCAAGCTTCAACCCCATACAAAAGGGTAGAGAAAATATAACATCGAAGCATTCTTATCCGGAGCGATATATTGATATCGCGATTATAAAAAAGTTTTCTCATTCTATTAAAAGTGCAATTTCAATGCGGCATCTTATTTCTTTTGTCTGATCAGTATCTTCTGTGATCCATGATTCAAGGTATTTGTACGAAGATATTTGTTTAATTTCTGTATTATCTAGTACTAGCTTAATTTTGATGTTTTGTGCTTTTGTAAAAACCATGAACTTGGCTTTCTTCAAATTTATTTTTAGTCCATAATCGTTGCCATATATATTTAGTTGTTCAGCAAGGTGTTGCAGTTCTTCTAGTGTTCCTGCCAGAAGGATGGTGTGGTCAGCATACCTTATGTTATTAAGTGGCTCACCGTTTATATATAAGGCCCTCACTGATCTCGTCAAGCGCTAATTCTGAGATGGCTTCACTGTATAAATTGAATAACAAGGGTGATAAAATACACCCCTGGCGGACCCACGGCGAATCTGGATATCCTCGGTCAGTTCATTTTCAACTTTCACTTTTGCTGTTTGGTTCCAATAGAGGTTACATATTATTCTAATGTCTCTACTGTCTATGTTTTTGTTTAATAAAATTTCTTTAAGCCGATTATGCTGCACTCTGCCAAATGCCTTTTCAAAATCAATGAAACAGGCATATACTTCCTGATTAATATCTAAGCATCTCTGCGAAAGAACTTATACCTTCATCTAATTTCTTATATATTCTATTGTGAATTACTTTTAAAAATAATTTCAAGACATGACTCATTAAGGTTATGGTACGATGCTCATTGCACTCCTTTGCATTACATGACTCATTAAGGTTATGGTACGATGCTCATTGCACTCCTTTGCATTGGCTCTTTTTTGGGAAGCAGTATGAATGTTGATTGAAGCCGTTCTTTAGGTATTATACCTGTTCTATATATGGTATTGAATAGATCCAAAAGAAGATCAACGGATTCAGTATTCACAATTTTGAGTAATTCGATAGAAACTTCATCAGGCCCGGGAGATTTATCACCTTTAGCTTGTTTCATTGCATATTTAATTTATTCTAGTATAATGTCAGGTCCAGTATCATCCTTAAATTCTTTTGATGCTTCTCTTCTCTCTTTGCCTTCAAAAAGTTGTGCAATGTATTGTGTCTATCTCTGCATTGCGCATTTTTTGGTTTATATCTGTTATAAGTGCACCACTTCCATCTCTTAGTTGCCTAGTTGGAAGTGTTTTTCTCATTCCTATTAATTCTCTAATTTTTTTATGCACGTTAAAAAAGTCATATTCTTTCTCAATTTCTTCTAGTTCTTGGAACTGCTCATGTAACATTCTCTCCTTAGCTTCTTTTATCCTCTTTTTAATTAATCGATCAGTTTCATTATACTTAATTGGATTTTTGTTTTGATGATTTTCTTTCATTCATTAATAGTAGTATTTCTTCAGTCATCCACTCTTTATGTTTTCTATTCTTTGGTTTTAAGTTTTCATTTGCTGTTTTAATTATTGCAACTTTTATATTTTCCCATTTCTGATCAATGGTATAGCTACTTTTATTCAGTTCTTGGACATTACGTAGATTTTCAGTAGGAGTTTTTACAGTTTGTTCCTTTGTTTGTGGTTCCTTTAATCTCTTAATATCCATTCTACTTTGTGTAGGTTTTTTAACCAGTTTCAATTTGGTTCGTAATGTGACTACTATGGGGTTATAACCGATGTCTGCTCCAGGGTAAGTTTTGGCAGACAGTATAGAATTACGAAATCTTTGTCTAATGAGGACAAAGTCAATTTGATTTCGGATTATTCTATTTGTTTTATCACCGGGAGATTTCCATGTATACAATCTTCTTTTTGGTAGCTTAAAAAGTGTATTAGCTATTACAAATTCTTCCGTCTGGCAAAATTGTATCAAACGGTAATTTCTAGTTCCTAGACCATATTATCCCACATATCCATCTTCCCACTCTTAACTGGCCAACTTTGGCATTGAAGTCGCCCATTACTATTGTAGTGTGATGTTTCTTCATTGATTTTAAGACTTGTTCCAACTCACAGTAAAATAGTTCGATATCGTCGTCATCTTTATCTGCCGTAGGAGCATAAACTTTTACTATGTTTTTAGACTGAAGTTGTATTGAAGTTATATGTCGAAATAAATCATCATGTTAAATTCTTATTCTCTTACTATATTTTCGTTGAAGCCTATTTTTGACGTTTCGATTTCCACTTCGGAAATCGTTCACAAAATACAAACATTAATAAATTAAACAATTTTGCTGTTTGTTACTTGGTGAAAAATTCGTCTAATAATTAAATTTCTATCTGACTCTGAATTCTGATCTTTCTATCTGATTCATATTGACAATTCAGACATATATTATCCATTTTAAAGTAGACGACTTTAAAATAATGTCGCCAAATTTATTGAGTTGCGTTCCTGATACGACTTTATTCTGAGATAGTTCATTCGATTACATCAAATATAAAATCAACTTTAACTTGAAATTATCCATTAGAAAAAATCATAGCATGTGATTTGTCATTTGAAAAAGACATAATACTATCCCGACAGGGTAAGTATTTGTTCTTATATTTAGTTTAATAACAATAAACAGCAAATTCTGATTTTATTTGTATGTTATTAAAAAAAAACTTTGTATCCTCGATATGTTACTGATTTATTAATAGTGATAGTTTTCTTTTACTAACTTCCTCTTTTACTATGGGTAACCAGATTCTACTGCACTCTGCCGAAGAATTTGCATCACAATTGATTATATTTAGCATAATTAGAGCCGATTTTTTTGATTTTTTTTACCAACTGTTTCTTTCAGGACTATACTTAAATCTTTTCATTGAACGCTGCGTTCATTTTCACATGCATTTTATACTATTGATGTTCACTTATTCTAATATTTAAGGGTCTTGATGATTTATCTAAATAAAAATGATCGCATTCTCAAGGTATTTTATAACTATGATTCTTTGTTCTTTCTCGTTCATTGTTAGGTTTAGTTTTGTATAAAATAGATCTCAATGTGTTTGTTGTTTTGAATGTTGCTAAAATGTTAAATTTATTTCCTATCGTTTTAAGTTTTTCAGACAACCCTTTTATGTATGATATTGTTATTTTCTCGTATTATTCCTTGTAAATATTGTAGGATCCCGTTATAAGTTAGTGTAATAATTTTTTGATAAAATAGATATTATCAAATGTTGCTCTAAGAACGAGTTATATCGTTACATCATATTTATTTAGGTGAACATCAATCGTATACTAAAAATAAAGAATTTGATAGATGTGAAATATGTAAACATGCATGTGACAATGAATGTAGGGTTCAATGGAAAGGTTCAAGTATAGTCCTGAAAGAAATAGATGGTAAAAAGAGAAAAATCAAAGAAGCGGCTCTTCTTGTGCTAAATGAGACCA